TAATCAGCAGCATGGATAATCAGCAGCATGGATAATCAGCAGCATGGGTAATCAGCAGCATGGATAATCAGCAGCATGGATAATCAGCAGCACAAAGTGTCAAATCTCCAATTAAAATGTCATTACAGTGATTATTCTGGTTAGAGATTCATGAGTCTAACAGCCTCAGGGTAGAAGCTGTTCCTCAGTCTAGTGGTTCTACACTTAATGCTCCTCAACCTCCTTCCTGAGGGGAGCAGGGTAAAAAGTGTGTGTGCTGGGTGAGTGGGGTCCTTCATGATGCAGGTGGCCCTCTTCCTGCATCTGGAGGTGTAGATGTCTGTGATGGTGGGGAGACTGACTCCAACAGACTTCTGTGCAGCCTTCACCACTCTCTGCAAAGCTTTTCTTTCTGCAGCTGTGCAGCCTCCATGCCACATGTTGATGCTGGAGCACAGGATGCTCTCCACTGCACACCTGTAGAAGGAGGTGAAGACTGAGCTTCCAGACCAGCTCGTCTCAGCCGCCTGAGGAAGTAGAGTTGCTGATTATGAGACATTCACATAAACATAAAAATTCAATTAGTAACATTGTTTATCTAAGGTAGGATAGAGTAGCCAGCAGATTGTGTTGAGTCTTCATTTCATCACAGTCTCCCATCCTGAGCAAGCGCAAGGCAACAGTGGAAAGAAAAACTCCCTCATAACAGGTAGAAACCTCCAGCAGAACCAGGCTCAGGACAAGTGACCATCTGCTTTGAGTGCAGAGGTGGAATGTTAGCAAATGTAGTGTTCTTTCACACTGTAAAGAAAAAGTTTTTTATTGACCTGACAAGCAATATATAATGGTCCCTCATTTAGATAGCCGTTAGCATATATGGTTGGATGGATCATGGCTGGATGGATGGATGGCTGGCTCTGGGTATGAAAGATCACCTTACTCTATCTATGGAGCAGCTCTCAGACTGTAGCACGGTGCTGAAGATGCTCCTCTGTGAGGTGATTGACCATAATGTCCAGCAGTTTGCCCAAAGTCCCGTCTGCCACAGCCACAACAACTTCAACCTCCACACCCACCACGGACCCAGTCCTCCTGATCAATCCAGTCTGTGGTTATCCCACTTCCTGGGCTGCTTCCACCAGCACAACTCACCAATAAAAGAGGACGATAGCAACCACAGACTGAAGAACATGTGAAGGAATGGTTAAATTATGTCAGTCTCCTCTGGAAGTACAGCCTGCTTTGTACCTTCTTCAGTCGTTGTTGTTCTCTGATCAGTCTTGCTCTGTGACTGATGCCACAAGTAGGATACTAATTATCACTGTGTGTCATAATAACCATCAAATACATGCAGAGCCACCTCAGCTCTTCGCTGTAACACACACACACTCACGCAAAATTGCATAACAACAAACACTCTTCCAAATGGCAGATGATGTCATAGTCTGCAGCTGGTTAAGGGCACAGCTTAGAGAGTATTAGAGGCTTTCATTCTTCCTTCAGGTTGAGCCTGTTTTCCTGCAGCTCTGACGGCCAGACCTCCTCTTTGAGTGGTGCCTGTGAGGGAGATCAGGTACCACTGCATTTGGAAACAAAGTACACAACACATTATCTGAAACTGCTTGAAATGAGCACTGCCACTGAGTGCGTTGTCTCAACGTAGAACTAAACTCGTTTTTATAACAATGCACTCCAAACGGATGATGTGTGTGTGTGTATTTCCCACACATTTTATATAACTTTTGCATTGAACAGCAGGCATGTCTTGTGAAAAAAATGTGTTTTTTAATAACACAAAACGTGTTATTTTTATAGAAAAAAATCTTGTAAACAAACAAACAATTTCACATCTCTTAAGAAATGAGAAGAGCAACGGGCTGATTTGATCATTTAATATGAAGTGACGGGCAAAGTGGGGGCGCAACTGGTAGAGCTGCTGCCTCTCAGCGAGCAGGTCCCTGGTTCAAACCCCGGTCCAGGGGCCTCTCTGGGTGGAGTTTGCATGTTCTCTCCATGCATGCGTGGGTTTTCTCCGGGTGCTCCGGTTTCCTCCCACAGACCAAAAACATGCATGTTAGGCTGATTGGTAACTCTAAATTGTCCCTAGGTGTGAGTGAGAGAGTGAATGGTTGTTTGTCTCGTTTGTCTCTATGTGTCCCTGTGATGGACTTGCGACCCGTCCAGGGTGTACCCCGCCCCTCGCACAGTGATTGCTGGACATGGGCACCAGCGACCCCCGTGACCCAAAATGGAATAAGCGGGTAAAGAAAATGGATGGATGGATGGATATGAAGTGACTGGAAACTGCCTTATTGAGATCAGACTTCTTAGCAGACACTGCCACCGTGTGGCCATTTATAAAACTGCAGGTAATGGAGGCCTAGGAACCAATGTGCTTTTCTGTGTTTCCGCACGGAGCTTATTACCTGTTGTTTATCCATGTCTGCTGGTTAGTCGCTGGTAAACCCTGTGAGGAGACTGTAAACGTGTTCATGTTTTAAATAGTAAATTAAACATTGTTTAAATCGGACCGCTGAGTAGGGGAATAGTTTTTAATGAGCTTTTCTCCTCGACGGAAGTGGTCATCGACGCGTTTGAACTTTTTTGCAGCTACGCCACCGAGTTTTTCCGCGGCGAGTAAAACCTCTTAAATAATCTTTTTCACTAAATGTAAGTCAGTTATTTTTAATTCTGCAAGTAAAGTTTACTTTTGAACACATTACCTCTCCAAACCTTTATCGAAACAGTGAGTTAATGTGTTTAAAATGGTTTGGTGTTGCCATGTTGTCAGCTTTCATCGTGTTGTTGTTTGTGTTTATTTGTTTCCTCCTCAGATTAAAAGATGAACAAAGAGTCCAGACTCAAAGCAACAATAAACCAGAAGCTCACAGAGACAGGGGAAAGAGAGAGGTGGGTTTAAATGTTCACGTTACCGTCACCTAATTCGTTATTGTGGAGAAAAACCTGGATTATTGGTTGGAAAGTGGATTTTATTTTTATTTATTTTACAGTTAATTCAAACCCTGTTTGAACAAAAGCTTGGAAGTTGTTTGAAAATACTGCCAAAGCCTAAATTTGTAATTTGAGTAATTTGAGCCTTTACCAGTCACAAAGATACTGGATTTTTTTTCTACTGCACTTTTAAACTGGGTGGAGAGCGAGGCAAATAAAGATGAACTCACAGACTGGAAGATTCTCCAGATGACCAGTTGTTTGGTGACAGATTGACTTCCTCCACAATGAATGACCACCTCACTAACATACATTTCACAACCTATTAGAACGTGTCTGGACTGTGGCAATTTGGAAAACCTGCAGTGGGGAGGCAGTCTACCCTTATACTACTCACCAAATGTTCTCCTGCCATGTTCTACATCCCTAAGCCACTGTCCTCCTGCCTGCTCCATCACGGCTTTCTTGAATTGTGACGTTGAGACATGACTCCAGCGTGGCCACTTCAGATTCTCACAACCAAGCCACGCTGGTGCAAGCATGTCCCACATCATGTACAGTATACACTGCCACCGTGCTCCTCCATGCAGGACCTTGACTATGGAAGTTTTATGCACATTCAAACCCATCATGAGCTTATCACATATAATGATGGAGCCTACTGTGTTCTGAATATGTGTCCAAGACCATGCAGAGTCCATCCAATGTCCAGCTAATTACTGTACTATAATTATTATAATTATGTGATTGGTAACTCTAAATTGTCTCTAGGTGTGAGTGAGAATGTGAATGGTTGTTTGTCTCTATGTGATGGACTGGAGACCTGTCCAGGGTGTCCCCTGCCTCTCACAAAGTTATAGCTGGATATGGACACCAGTGACACCCGCTACCTGAAAAGGAAGGCGCAGGTAAAAAGGTAATGGACGGATGGATTATGATTATTTTTACATCACAGCAGGTCGTCATTAGAAGGTAAAGGAGCCTAAAGCTTCATGTGGTGAACAAGAAGCACTGTGTTGACATTGTGTGAAAACATAGTCATGCCACCATGATATCCATGCATGTCACCATGTCAGAAGTACTAAACAAAATGACTGAAACTTTTACAGACTTGGGTCAACACAGCTCAGAAACTCTACTGAGCTGTTCTCAGTTGGACACAAAGGTCTACGGTTCAGCTCAAGGCCAACAAAAGAGTTTTACACATGAAAGATCACGATGGAAGACACAAAAGCCAAGATGTGTGATGCATCCCTGTCTGTGGTATCTGTTGGCAGCATGAGTGTGTTTACTGGAGAAACAAACACAACCATCAACATGACATGTTTCCCTGTGGTTATTTTAGCAGCAAAATGTCAGAACCTCATTCTGCACAACTTGCTGCAGGTGTGTACGCCTGACTGGGTATCTTATAGGCGAGATCCCAATAGTCTTACCCTGTCATAAAGAAGAGAGCCAACCAGCAACCATCAGGACTGCTGATCAGCTGAAATCTTGTATCATAAAAGACAAAACAGATTGTTTTTGAAAAACTGAAACTTAATATTGTTCTCTACGGCTGAAAACGTTTTATAAAAACTGCAATGTGCAATCCAACAAGGTCCATAATCCAGGTACACAATCCAACAATTTTCAGTCGGTTCATCTTGACAGTTTCTTCTTTTTTTTGTGCTGAAACGTTTCACCTTCCATCCAGAAGGCTTCATCAGTCAAGGAAACACAACAAAACTGATTCTTCCCCCAACAGCTTACTCCAAAGTGGAACAAACCAGTTATGTTGGTGCTAAGATGGTCTCTTTGTCAGTTTTGTGATGTGTGTTTCCTTGACTGATGAAGCCTTCTGGATGGAAAGTGAAATGTTTCAGCACAAAAAAAAAAAAAAGAAACGGTCCAGATGACCTGACTGAAAATTGTTGGATGCAATGTGCAATGTTGTTTCAAATTGCGATGACAATCTCAGTTGTTAAAAAAAAAGATCCCACATTTTCTTCACACTTCACTTTCTCTTCTGGATCTCCATCATCTAACCCAAGTATAATACCAGTAGCAAGACAAGTGCGGCGTAATGATCTATGACTTATTGCAGTCCTGATACGATGCGCTCGCTGATATTGCAGTGAAGATGAATTGTCTGCGTATTGTCAAGCACTGATGTTTTCTGTTTCCAAACAACAAAAAGGAATGATGCAAACGTTCCTCACGCTCGTTCTGTCTGTGGAGTGTTTTTACAAACTGCACTTTATTAGTCAAAGAGAAGCGCTGAAAATGAACCTATCTGTACTCAGTGTTTAGAGGAACCACAGTGCCCGGGGTGTCAGCATGACGCTTTTCTCGTTGTGCTCTCTGTACGTCAGCGAGCATTCATTCAGCAGGAACTCATGTCTGTGTCCTCGTGTCTTTTCAACAGGCTGAAAGAGTTGTTGAGAGCCAAGCTCACGGAGTGTGGATGGAAGGACCAAATGAAGGCGCACTGCAAAGGTGACGACTGTTGAAGCAACAGATCAAGGATCGTTTTATTAGAGAGAGGACCTTTTGTTTCTTAAAGAAGCTTTACCATAATACTTTGTTTATACATATATAAATATACATATATATAATGTTTTCAGGAAATGTAGATAAAATTTTCATAAAATCAAGAACTGCTTTAATAGTGTTAGGAAATGTGTTATTCATTTTGTGGACAGAATTTCTAGGCGCAGCCAAGGTGTTGAGGGGATCCGTTTTGGTGGCCTTAGGATTGCGTCTCTGCTTTTTGCAGATGATGTGGTCCTACTGGCTTCATCAGATCGTGATCTACAGCTTTCGCTGGAGCGGTTCGCAGCCGAATGCGATGCGGCCGGGATGAAGATCAGTTCCTCCAAATCCGAGGCCATGGTCTTGAGCCGGAAAAGGGTAGAGTGCCCTCTCCGGGTCAGGGAGGAGATCCTACCCCAAGTGGAGGAGTTCAAGTATCTTGGGGTCTTGTTCACGAATGAGGGAAAAATGGAGCGTGAGATCGATAGGCGGATAGGTGCAGCGTCTGCAGTGAAGCGGGCGCTGTACAGGTCTGTCGTGGTGAAGAGAGAGCTGAGTCAAAAGGCGAAGTTCTCAATTTACCGATCGATCTACGTTCCCACCCTCATCTATGGTCACGAGCTTTGGGTTGTGACCGAAAGAACGAGATCTCGGATACAAGCGGCCGAAATGAGTTTTCTCCGCAGGGTGTCTGGGCTCTCCCTTAGAGACAGGATGAGAAGCTCGATCATCCGGGAGGGACTCGGAGTAGAGCCGCTGCTTCTCCATGTTGAGAGGAGCCAGTTGAGGTGGCTCGGGCATCTGTTTAGGATGCCTCCTGGACGCCTCCCTGGTGAGGTGTTCCGGACACGTCCCACCGGAAGGAGGTCCAGGGGAAGACCCAGGACACGCTGGAGGGACTATGTTTCTCGGCTGGCCTGGGAACACCTCGGGATTCCCCCGGAAGAGCTGGCCCAAGTGGCTGGGGAGAGGGAAGTCTGGGCCTCCCTACTTAGGCTGCTACCCCCGCGACCCGACCCCGGATAAGCGGAAGAAAATGGATGGATGGATTTTGTGATTAAAAATCTCATCTTGACAAGTTGAAAGGTGAAGAACAAAGAGTGGTGGCATCATGTGACAGGGTCAAGGAGAACAAGCAGTTCAGTGTTTTTGCATTAACTGTCTGTTCTTGTGTTCAGAAACTTACATGATGTCCACCATGTGAACATTTTTAACTTGTTCCTGCTAAAAGTAGGAGGAGTCAGGTCAAAGGAGTGAATGCTTAATGGTTTCTTTAGATCTTTGTCATTTATTGGTGATGGAGTTGCACAGAGTGCAGGAAAGTGGACACAGTTTGGCAAAACATGAATATGTCAAATTATCTGAACATAATTTGATTCATGAGCACTACAAAAAGGTTTGTTCAAAATCTGCACAACATTTAATACGTTTTGTATGAACTTTTATTACAAGCAGGATTCACTTGTTTATTTATTCGGTAGACTGAATATTTAGAACGACTGTAATATTTGAATTTTGATGTCTTAATTATGTTTTTCAGGGTTTAAAAGTGTAATTATTTGATCTCCAGGTTTTTGTCTTTTTAATGAAAGGTTGAATCTGATGGTTTGAGAGACATGTAGAACCACAGGCTCAGGAGGATTATCTAGATTTGCTTCTCGTCACTAACACATCCAGGCATTACAAAGATTCCTTTTGAAAATAGGATTGCCACATTAAAATCCAAGATGGCCACCACTGTGTGTGTTTGGGGGGGGGGGGGGGGGGGGTGTAAAACCAACCACTTCTATTGATGTAAATTTTGCTTTGCAGTTTTTTCTGTTGCTTAGCATAGTTTCCTCAAATGCTTGTTGTGGCCAAAGATCACTCTCTGGCCACTCTGTGGCTCCGTCGTTTCTCCTGATCATAGATAAAATGTTCCCTTCACTCACCAGCATCGTCACTCTGCTGCATGTAACTCTGGCCCACTTGAATATCTCACACCACAAACGTTAAGGTTTACTTACGTTCGTCTCAAACTACAAACGTTCACTATTTAAGTCCCTCAGCAGCGTACCGCTTGTATTAACATCCATTTTGCTTTGATGCTTGTGAGTGAGCAGTTTCTCTTTTTGTGTAAATTGTCATGTTTTTGAAAACATAATGTAGTTCCTGCTGTTGCTCTGAATCACACGTTGTGTCCTTGTGCTGACTTGCAGAGGTCATCAAAGAAAAGGGTTTGGAGCACGTCACGGTGGAGGACCTTGTTGTAGAGATCACCCCTAAAGGGAGAGGTAACTCATCTTCACTGTTCTTCATTCAATACTCAATATGTTCATAACTTGGCTCATAATGGGAAGTGATCAGAAGCAAGTTGCATAATTTGCATGAAATGCCTTTAACAGTTATACTAATATACCAGTGTTTTACCATTATACAAGCGGGGCGCCCGCCCCATTAACAGAACCGAGCGCGCTGGTGTAACACTAAGCTAGCGGCGCGCAATACAGGTGTGTTAGCTAAAACGCTAAAGGCAGCGCTCACGCTGCCTCTTCCCTCACGCTGAACCACCCCCCGAAAACTGCTGGTACAAACAGTGCACAGCTCAGATGTGGTTCTGTCTCCCCGAGACAAGAATCATGGATGAGATGAGCACCCGCCATGGCAAGTCACCTTGGGGAAACACTGTATACACTGAAGCAGTTGTATATTGTTACTGTCTGATGATAAAATACAGTGTTCTGCTCCTGTGAAGGGAACATTTATCAAGAATCTGGGAACTGAAAGTCTTGCTAATGTCATATTTTGCACATTTCTATATTTTTAATGACAGTAGGTATGACCTTATACCCTCTGTAACATTATTCATGGGGGAACCACCTGCCTGCACGACTGACGTCCAGGTGCTTTACTTTAAAATAGTTTTAAATGTATATTTCAACCAATTGTCCATGAGATTATGTGGGAAATGTATGAAGAAATAATATCCTATCAATTGTAGATAGCTGTTTGAAACAACCTCAGTTTGTAAAAAGTTGTTTACGTCCATCAGAACTGTTAAGCTAACAGCCAGTCTGAACACAACCAAGACCATAATGCTACTGTTTTTAGCATCTTCAGTCTTAAAGATTTGTTTCAAAGTGGATTCACTCACTTTGGAAGTTGTCCACTTGGATCAAATTGACAAGCTAATAATGGATCGCCTAAGCGGACACACTTCTAAAGGCTGCTCGATACGTGTCAAGACATAAAACATCTGTTCTTGCAGATGTGACTGTGAGACGGTCTTTTTTGCACAGATATTTTATACTCTGAAAAGAAACTGGAGCAGAGTTCCAGTCTTGCCACTGCAGCAGACGTCCCTCACAAACTGAAACAACAGTGGAGTTGGAAGGAGAAAGATCTGGTAGTTTTGTTGTTAACCAAGAAGCACTCATTTGTTCCAAAGAGACCAACACGGTTTCCGACAGACGTTCGTATGAATGTGTCCCTATGCAGCCAAGGTGCGCTCTTTCTTGGACAGCACGGTGTCTCCGTGTCGTCTCTTTCCACGAGTTCTTCGACTGTTTCCATCAGATTCATTGGACTACCGTAATAAGTTTTGCTGGAATAAATGTAAATATGACTAAAACTGTCTCGGCTGTCTGACCCTCAGCAGTTGAGGGGAAATGAGACGTGAACACCCCACAACGTTCTGACCAATCACAACATGCTTGGCACATAGCCTGTGAGGAAAAGTTCTGCCAACAGCTTAGGAACAGAACGTGTTCTCAGAGGTGATGCAAGAACAGAAGACAATGTTCTCCACGCAACCACGTCACCAAGAACAAAGTTCTTCACGTCTGATGGAGTATAAAACTACTACTGTTTTAAAACAACTTTATTTTAAACCTTTATCATCAGTTTGACCTTAGGAATGACATAATTCTTTACTCAGAAGGTTTAAAGAAAACATACATGGGTACAGAGACTGACCAGTGTCTTTTTCTCCTGCAGTTTTGGTGCCAGACAGCGTCAAGAAAGAACTTCTTCAAAGAATCAGAGCCTTCTTGTCTCAGCATGCCTCGTAATTTGTCCATTTCATAATTTGCCAACAATTTTTTGACAAAAAAAAAAAAAAAGATTTTTCTTTTTTTTAGGATTAACTTGGATTTAAAAAAAAATATATATTGCAATTCCTATGAATTTTTTACTTCATTTTCAGTAACTTGGATATCAGCACTGTCTAATGCAACTGCTGTTAATAAATATTTTGATGGTCTTACGATACAAGTGTAGTTGTACTTTGTATGAGATGAAGTTTTTGATTTGTTGAACAAAGAGCAGAATATAAACATGCATCTGAACATGTTTGATGTTCTACTAAACTTTGTGTAAAATTTGAAACAATCAAACAAAAAAGAAAGATTGATCAGGTGAAAAAAAGACTATCCCACTCCTAAATTCAATACTCGAACCCTAAAGTTTACTGGTGACTGGTGAAGAATGATGAGCACCATCCCAAAAACACCATCCCTACTGTGAAGCATGGGGGTGGAAGCATCATGCTTTGGGGGTGTTTTACTGCTCATGGGACAGGACGACTGCACTGTACTAAGGAGAGGATGACCGGGGCCATGTATTGTGAGATGTTGGGGAACAACCTCCTTCCTTCAGTTAGAGCATTGAAGATGGTCGTGGCTGGATCTTCCAACATGACAATGACCCAAAGCACACAGCCAGGAGAACCAAGGAGTGGCTCTGTAAGAAGCAGATCAGGATTCTGGAGTGGACTAGCCAGTCTCCAGACCTAAACCCTGTAGAAAATCTTTGGAGGGAGCTCAAACTCCGTGTTTCTCAGCGACAGCCCAGAAACCTGGTTGATCTAGAGAAGATCTGTGGAGGAATGGACCAGAATCTGCTGCAGTGAACCTGGTGACAAACTACAGGAAACACTTGACCTCTGTAACTGCAAACAAAGATACTGTACCAAATATTAACATTGATTTTCACACGTGTTCAAATACTTATTTGAAGCAGTAACACAAATAAATTATTTAAAAAATCATACATTGTGATTTACTGATTTAAAAAAAAATATATTTTAGATTATGTCTGTCACGGTGGACATGCACCTGAGATTAATATTTCAGACCCTCCATGATTTCTAAGTGGGAGAACTTGCAAAGATGCAGGATGTTCAAATACTTATTTTCCTCACTGTCGATACATATATGTATATACACATATATATATATATATATATATAAATACACACACGCATATACAGGTCCTTCTCAAAAAATTAGCATATTGTGATAAAGGTCATTATTTTCCATAATGTAATGATAAAAATGAAACTTTCATATATTTCAGATTCATTGCACACCAACTGAAATATTTCAGGTCTTTAATTGTTTTAATACTGATGATTATGGCATACAGCTCATGAAAACCCAAATTGCCTGTCCCAAAAAATTAGCATATTTCATCCCACCAATGAAAGACAAGTGTTTTTAATACAAAAAACACCAACCTTCAAATAATCATGTTCAGTTATGCACTCAATACTTGGTCGGGAATCCTTTTGCATGAATGACTGCTTCAATGCGGCGTGGCATGGAGGCAATCAGCCTGTGGCACTGCTGAGGTGTTATGGAGGCCCAGGATGCTTCGATAGCGGCCTTAAGCTCATCCAGAGTGTTGGGTCTTGTGTCTCTCAACTTTCTCTTCACAATATCCCACAGGTTCTCTATGGGGTTCAGGTCAGGAGAGTTGGCAGGCCAGTTGAGCACAGTAATACCATGGTCAGTAAACCATTTACCAGTGGTTTTGGACTGAGCAGGTGCCAGGTCGGGCTGAAAAATGAAATCTTCATCTCCATAAAGCTTTTCAGCAGATGGAAGCATGAAGTGCTCCAAAATCTCCTGATAGCTAGCTGCATTGACCCTGCCCTTGATAAAACACAGTGGACCAACACCAGCAGCTGACATGGCACCCCAGACCATCACTGACTGTGGGTGCTTCACACTGGACTTCTGGCATTTTGGCATTTCCTTCTCCCCAGTCTTCCTCCAGACTCTGGCACCTTGATTTCCGAATGACATGCAAAATTTGCTTTCATCCGAAAAAAGTACTTTGGACCACTGAGCAACAGTCCAGTGCTGCTTCTCTGTAGCCCAGGTCAGGCGCTTCTGCCGCTGTTTCTGGTTCAAAAGTGGCTTGACCTGGGGAATGCGGCACCTGTAGCCCATTTCCTGCACACGCCTGTGCACGGTGGCTCTGGATGTTTCTACTCCAGACTCAGTCCACTGCTTCCGCAGGTCCCCCAAGGTCTGGAATCGGCCCTTCTCCACAATCCTCCTCAGGGTCCGGTCACCTCTTCTCGTTGTGCAGCGTTTTCTGCCACACTTTTCCCTTCCCACAGACTTCCCACTGAGGTGCCTTGATACAGCACTCTGGGAACAGCCTATTCGTTCAGCAATTTCTTTCTGTGTCTTACCCTCTTGCTTGAGGGTGTCAATGATGGCCTTCTGGACAGCAGTCAGGTCGGCAGTCTTACCCATGATTGCGGTTTTGAGTAATGAACAAGGCTGGGAGTTTTTAAAAGCCTCAGGAATCTTTTGCAGCTATTTAGAGTTACGTCGTTGATTCAGATGGTTAGGTTAATAGCTTGTTTAGAGAACCTTTTCATGATATGCTAATTTTTTGGGACAGGCATTTTGGGTTTTCATGAGCTGTATGCCATAATCATCAGTATTAAAACAATTAAAGACCTGAAATATTTCAGTTGGTGTGTAATGAATCTGAAATATATGAAAGTTTAATTTTTATCATTACATTATGGAAAATAATGACCTTTATCACAATATGCAAATTTTTTGAGAAGGACCTGTATATATATAATGTGTGTGCATGTATATATATATATATATATATATACACATGCACACATGCATATATATATAATGTGTGTGTATGTATATATATATATATATATATATATATATATATATATATATATATAAACAGCGCCTTTTATATTGGTGAGTTATTTTGATGGATTAGCCGATGTCCGATATTTAACTTTATTGCTAATATCGGCCGATACCATGCTGATAATGTCGTGCATCCCTTCTGATGATTATTAGTGTCTACACATTAATATGGTCAGTCTTGTTTTATTAAAAGAGGTGAGACACAATCTTATTTACCTCAAAACAAACACAGAGCCCAATCAAAGCCGTAAAGTCCTCCATCACTGAGCTTGGGTTAATTGTAGAGAAAATTGTAAAACTGAAGACGAACAAATGCTATAAAGCTACTTATACACCTGAAATCAGACCTGATGTTCTCATTTTCAATCCTTCTGAGGATCCAGTGTCTCTTCTCCGGTGGTTTATTGAAGTCCAGACACAAAGTAGGATGCAGGTTTTCCTCCGTCGGCCGTTTATCAACAAAGTGAAACGAGCTCACAGACAGAGTTTTGGGTGGTCTCTTCAAGTTCACATTTTTCAGACACATTCTTATTAATTCATCATCTGTAGGTAGAAGATGAAACTATACGTCTTTTCACAGAAACACTCTTTTTGTTTTGGGTCCTTGTTCAAAACTGTGTTATTGTAGCCACTAATTTAGTTTGATTGTTCCTGCAGCCGTGAACACAACAGGTACCTGAACTCAGCACGGCTATTTTAGTAAACTTTATGATTGATAAATAAATATAAACCAAAGCAGCATTTTATCTGCTAAACTGAATGCAAATTACTTTCAAATAAACTGTGGTTCATGTTCTGCTACCATAGTTAACCAATGCTACTGCTACTTCCTGTCTGACAGGAAGTTGTACCCATAGTCATTTATACAGTAGAGCCTCCAGGAATAGGGTGCATCAATACTTTAGTAGAAATATAAAATCCCTGCTACACTTCGCTGCATTTGGTACATCTGTGCTGCTGCTGCTATTTGTGCTTGCAAATAAACAAAACGTTCTGGGACAGTTCTGTTCAGTTCTGCTGGAGTGCTGTGAGGGTTCCACTCGGTTCGGTTGAGTTCAGTTCTGTCCAGTTCTGTGCGGAGAAGCCCAGTTCTGGGAGACGGGAAGATCCTGACATGACAACAGAGCTCTTCCGAGTCATGGGAATATAACACTTTCCACTCGCCACTACTTCTGACGAGCTACAGCCATCCTAAGGAGACGCTGGACAGGTAGCGTTAACGGAACTCCATATCTGCTGATTAATCTCAGAAAGGTAATGAGTCAAGTTTTCTACCAAGCGTACCGAGGTGAGCTGGGTTCTGATGGAGAGTGTTGGTTCTGGTGAACACTTCCCCTCACATACCATCTTTACTCCCTTTAACTTCTTTCCCATCTTTAAACTTTTCTCTCAAGTAGAAATTCTTCCAGATATTTTAGAAATGTCTGTGTAAAGTGCTCATCCACATCCGTGTGGGTAAAAGATCATAATTGTACAGTTTTCATAAATGTCTGTGGTGAAGCAACGGAAAAATCATGGCCGTATGATTTTTCCTGATTGATTGCTTATGTTGTTATTTTCATAATTTGCCAAATTAATGTAAATGTTTGATGTTAAACTTTGATTCTGTAAATAAATGACCGCATTCATTTTGATGGGTCAAATATAAATGACGTCTCACGTTTGCATTTCATTAAATTCAATGCACGTTTTATTCAGTTCAGAAAAATGAGGAATCCGTGTTAATTGATGAATATATCTGAGCATCTGTTCATCTACAGAAATCATTGTCAAACTTTCTGTAAACTATTTCTGCAAAATGAGGTCACATTAGGTAAGATACTGTGTTCATAACTGACACAGAACACCACTTCAAGATGACCAGAGTTTCCCTTTAAAGTCTCCTGTTGTCTCAGTTAATGCTGCCCAATGTTTTGGACCTGGAGCTGTGTTCTCCATCATTACAGGGACTGTGTGTAACTGGTTATGAGGTACAGTGGACCCAGAAATAACGCAGCCTTTGGCATCAGTGACTGGGCACAGAGTGACTGTGGTCGCTCACACAAAACAGTGTTTTCTTAGCCGAAGGACCTGCTGTGACATCAGGCTAGGTGACAACATGCTGATGTACAGTTCTGTTGTGGGGGCCAAA